AGATTTATCTTGATCCGGTTATAACCTAAGAAGGCGTCCATGAAACTGAGGAGTTTATGTCTAGCCGTGGCATTGACTATCAAATCGATTCTGGGTAAAGGAAAGCAATCCTTAGGGTATGCGTGGTTGAGATCGGTGAAATCAATACAGAGCCGTTATTTCTCATTTACCTTCTTGACTAGCACCACGTTGGCTAACCAGGTCGGGTAATCGACCTCAGTGATTGTCTTTGCTCGCAGTAACTTAGCCACCTCCTTGTTAATTATTTTTTGTCTTTCTGGAGTAAAGTCTCCCATTTCTCTGTCTGACCGTCTTGTAGTTCGGGTCAACGCTTAGCCAGTGCACAATTACTCCTGGGTTAATTCCCTTCATGTCTTCCTATTTCTAAGCAAACACGTCGGCCTTTTCTTTCAAGAATAGGATGAGTTTGTTTTTGATATCCTAGAGCAGCATCAAGCCTACAAAGACCACATGTCCGGGGTCTTCGTCGATCTATACTAGCTCCAGCTGCTTCGAGGGGGTAGGTCAAGTTTCCACATCGTCCCTCGTGTCTAAGTCCTCTATCTGAACTAACTCCACTTCTCTTTGTCTCATAGACATTATATAGCACTCCCTGGTGAGGTGTTGATCTCATTTCACCACTTTAACCTCGTTCTCTATGGGAAACTTCATAACTAAGTGATACATAGATGGGATGACTCTGATGGAGTTGAGGGAGGGTCTCCCCGAGTAGTACGTTGTAGGCAGAAGGGGTGTCCACCACAAAGAAATGAACTGTGGTGGTAACTTGGCAGGGGTGGTTCCCCAGGGTAAGAACTAGCTAGATAGATCTAATGGGCATGACCCTTTCTCCCAAGAAGCCTAGGAGATGGGTTCTTATTGGTTCAAGCTTCGATCTGTCTATTCTGAATTGATCAAAGACAAAAAGGAATATGATATCTGCCAAGCTTCCATTGTCGATCAGCACACGACGTACAACCTTGTTTTCAATAATGGACTTTACCATCAATGGATCATCATGAGGGTGCTGACACCCCTCCAGGTCAGCATTTGAGAAAGTTATATCTACATCCCTGTGCCTTAAGAAATTCATCTGATCTCACCCTCATGGTGTGTGCCTTCTTGGCTGAGCTGGATTCACCTTCGCCCATAAAGCCACCTGAGATAACCCTGATTTCGCCAAGGGCCTATTGGTGCTGTTGTGGGGGTGGCACGACCACCCGATCCTCTCTCTTGATCATTCTTTTCTCTTCCTTCTCCAGCTACATAGTGTCGTAAATGGTTTCTTTGGATCAGGTACTCTATCTCTTTTTTTCAGCTAAATGCAATCGTCGGTCTTATAGCCAGTATTTTTGTGGAAATTGCAGTATTTGGTGGGATCCCGTCTCCTGGGATCAAATTTCATCCGTGGTGGCCACTTGATGAACCTTTCGTTCTGGACCTCATGGAGAACCAAAGAGATGGAGGCAGTCAGGGGCGAGAGCCAAGCTGGAATATATCTATGTTGCAATTCCTGAGTTGGAGGTCCAAGACGATCTTTGATGTTACCCCTCTATTTTGGGGAAGGCTCTCCATCTCTTCTAGGAGACCGATCTCTCCTCGGGGATCGATCACGTCTATTTTTTTTCCTTGGGTTGTACTCTCTTTTCATTTTCTCTCCTTTGCCTGTAGATGATGCTCCTCCCTTTATGCAAAAGGCCTCCTCGCCATTAATGTACTTTTCAGCCTTTGCGAGTACCTCGACCATAGTGGCCTAAGGGTTCTTAGCAATCGAAAAGAGGAGGTATTTTGATTAAAGGCCAAGTCATAACATAAAAGTAGTCAGGGCAAAATTATCATCAATATTCTCCACTTTCAAAGATTCCTGGTTGAAGCGTTGCACATAACTCTGAAGGGACTTGTTTGGCCCCTGTCCAATACTCAGTAGATAGTAAGATGGCTTCCTATAGGTTCTGGCTCCTATGAAATGAGAGACAAATTGTATGGATAGCTCCCAAAAAGAAAAGATTGAAGACGGTTGCAACCTATTGAACCAAGTTATCGTCGACCCTTTGAGGGTTATGGCAAAAGCTCGGTATCGAATAGGGTCCGGGTATCCGTGTAGTTCTATTTAATTTTTGTACGAGTTCAAATAATCCACTGGATCCTGTGTTCCATCGAATGTCTGTATCTGCGGCATCCTAAACTTCTGGGGAAAGGAAAAATGGAGGNCGAATAGGGTCCGGGTATCCGTGTAGTTCTATTTAATTTTTGTACGAGTTCAAATAATCCACTGGATCCTGTGTTCCATCGAATGTCTGTATTTGCGGCATCCTAAACTTCTGGGGAAGGGAAAAATGGAGGATTTCAAAGGTGAAATATGATTCGGCTTATTGGACTAAAATGTCCATAGTGACAGGAGCTTTCCCTTTAACCACTTCTTTCACATTTTTGAGCTCCAGTTGAATTTCATGAAATTTCTACTTCCAAAAATGGTCAATGGCTTGTACAGGCAGAGACTGTGGATGATTCGCTTGTACCCATGCCAATAAGTCTTGACTTTGCTTCATGAGTTGCATGGTTGTTCGCCAGTAGGTCTCCAATTCATTGAGAGGTCGAAGGTCCACCGTCGGAGGAAAATTCTCAATGTCCGCTGCTGGGGCGGGGAAGCTCTCTAGTAAAGTCAGTGGGACTTGGGAGTTTGTGTGAGATTTAATCATATTTCGAGTTGAAACCATCAAACTAATAGATGTATAAGAAAAACTCAAAGGAAACGATGAAAATCGTTTCCCATAGATNTTGAAACCATCAAACTAATAGATGTATAAGAAAAACTCAAAGGAAACGATGAAAATCCTTTCCTATAGACGGCGCCAAACTGATGATGTAAAAAATCAAGAGGCATGAAATGGAGAGTTGTTTGAACTCTTGGTAGATGTGTCGTGTGTGTGTAAAAATGAATGAGAATACACAAGAAAATAAGTGCTTCACCAACTGAAAAAGCTTGGCTAATTCACTATAATGGAGGCTCTTACTCCTTGATTGTATAATGCTTTTTTAAAGAAGAATAGTACAACATGGTTTTTTTTTCTTATTTGAGACCCTTTTTTTACATAGTGATAATTGCCTTTTATAACAGAATATTAGGAAAATATTTAGGGAATATTCAGAGAATATTTGATGTGACTTATTGCCCATGGTATAGTTTGATGGTGAAAACCTTTTTTTGCTCCTTTAGGTAGTTTATTTATTGTTTGTTGCCTCTTGTATATTTTTTGGTATCATCAGTTGCCCCCAACCCCGAGCAAGGACCGACCTAAGCTGTCCATTGGTTGGGCTGAGCATTTTAGATCGAATCATGGATGCTTAAGAGTTTGAGGGGTTTGTCGAAGAAGCTCTAGGAGTTCTAAAAACCTTGTTCTGTTTTGGACTTAGATAGGTTGAACTAACGTTTTCTTTTAGGCTGAGGAGCCAAGCCAAGTTGATTAGCTTTAGAGTTGAGGAGTCTCCCAATGAGTTTATGATGGGTTGACCAATCTAAGTTTAATTGTTGTGGTTGAGCAGTCCAAACTTTGTGCTTTTGAGTGAGCCTTGGGCTTATTGCCAGTCGAGTAAGTCCAATGTAACACCCCCCCCACTACCCAGCAAGATATTGTCCTCTTTGGCACAGGGTCACGGAACACCGTTCTCCTCCCCTGCCCTCAAGGGTTTGTTCCTCCCAGGGGTTCCCTGGGAAAAGGCCTCTTGCAAGGTAAGGGCTGAAGGCTTACTTATAAGCCCAGCAACTCCCCCCTCCGTAACCGATGTGGGATACCAGGATCTCACAATCCACCCCCCTCAGGGCTGCACGTCCCCGTGCAGCTAGGTCACGGACTACCGTTCTCCTCCCTCCTACAAGCTGACCCGTGCAGGGCCCCACACTCGGCATNCGATGAAAATCGTTTCCCATAGATGGCGCCAAACTGATGATGTAAAAAATCAAGAGGCATGAAATGGAGAGTTGTTTGAACTCTTGGTAGATGTGTCGTGTGTGTGTAAAAATGAATGAGAATACACAAGAAAATAAGTGCTTCACCAACTGAAAAAGCTTGGCTAATTCACTATAATGAAGGCTCTTACTCCTTGATTGTATATTGCTTTTTTAAAGAAGAATAGTACAACATGGTTTTTTTTTCTTATTTGAGACCCCTTTTTTACATAGTGATCATTGTNGATGTGTCGTGTGTGTGTAAAAATGAATGAGAATACACAAGAAAATAAGTGCTTCACCAACTGAAAAAGCTTGGCTAATTCACTATAATGGAGGCTCTTACTCCTTGATTGTATAATGCTTTTTTAAAGAAGAATAGTACAACATGGTTTTTTTTTCTTATTTGAGACCCTTTTTTTACATAGTGATAATTGCNATTGCTTTTTTAAAGAAGAATAGTACAACATGGTTTTTTTTTCTTATTTGAGACCCCTTTTTTACATAGTGATCATTGTCTTTTATAACAGAATATTAGGAAAATATTTAGGGAATATTCAGAGAATATTTGATGTGACTTATTGCCCATGGTATAGTTTGATGGTGAAAACCCTTTTTTGCTCCTTTTGGTAGTTTATTTATTGTTTGTTGCCTCTTGTATATTTTTTGGTATCATCAGTTGCCCCCAACCCCGAGCAAGGACCGACCTAAGCTGTCCATTGGTTGGGCTGAGCATTTTAGATCGAATCATGGATGCTTAAGAGTTTGAGGGGTTTGTCGAAGAAGCTCTAGGAGTTCTAAAAACCTTGTTCTGTTTTGGACTTAGATAGGTTGAACTAACGTTTTCTTTTAGGCTGAGGAGCCAAGCCAAGTTGATTAGCTTTAGAGTTGAGGAGTCTCCCAATGAGTTTATGATGGGTTGACCAATCTAAGTTTAATTGTTGTGGTTGAGCAGTCCAAACTTTGTGCTTTTGAGTGAGCCTTGGGCTTATTGCCAGTCGAGTAAGTCCAAGATGCCAATGTTGAGCTTGATTGAATATGAACGATAAAGCTAATGAGCTTAAAACTGTTGAAGCTGAATAGCCTGATCATGTTAAAGTTGAAAAGCTCGTAGCTAAGCCTAATCATCATGACAGTGCTGAGATTTAAGAGCTCTTTATATTGAAGATCTTGAGCTAAAGAGTCAGGTCGTGCAATGATTGATGAGCGAGGCAATATCTTAGTTGAAGAGTTAGGTTATGCTTCAAGTGAAGACCCATTACCTTGTCTGAAGAACTAGGTCATTTCTTAGCTGATGAGCCAAATCATGCCTTGGTTGAAGAGCTTGGTCATTCCTTGGCTGAGGAGCCAGGTCAGGTTGAAGAGTTAGGTCGTTCCTTGGTTAAAGAGCTAGATCATTCCTTGGCTGAAGAGCCAAGTTGGCTAAGGAGCCAGGTCAGGCTAAAAAATGAGAATATTCCTCGACTGAGAGTCAGGTCAGGCTGAAGAGCCAAATCAATCCTTGGCTGAGGAGCCAAGTCGGGCTGAAGAGTCCCAAATTTTATAAGTAAGACTTTAGCAAATTGTCATAGATTTGATGGGTGATTGTGCCAACAACTATTAATGTTGCTACTCTTTCCTGTAGAATTTTTTCTTGGGCATTTGAGAAGACAGCCTGAAGTTGCTTGGAGCACACCAAAGTCTGAAATAAATACTATCAAAGAATAAATAATAATTTGGCAAGACCGAGCACTTATCTGTGTATGAGACAAGGTAGATGACGATAATTTTGATTACCAAAAGAATTGAAAATATAGTTTGATCTAGCATCCAATCGAAGCCTCTGTGATCTCAAATGAGGCATAAGACCCAATGATCTTGAGAAATTCAATTTTTGAAGTCATACCCTCACAGTAGCATATAGTTTCGAAATTAATGGATAGTTTCATGATCTCTTGCCGAAGACTGACCAGTCAAAAGGTGTTGTGGGTACAAGACCACTTGGTTAATTATCGAGATTTTGGCTCATTATTCAATCTTGAACCATCAATCAATCATTAGAGATTTGATTTAGAACAATGAAAATTGTTCTCACAGACGAAGCCAAGTTAATAGTGCTCTAAAATGCACAGCCCAAGTCCAGAATAACGTTTAATGAGATGGGGGGAGTGGTGTGAATACACTAAACTAATAGAGAAAATGTATAAAGAAATGAGATTAAAGACAATATATAAGTGGTTTACCCTAATCGAAAGATCATGATTGCGTCCACTGTAACGAAGACTCTTGTTCTGTAAGGTTTGTATTGCTTGAAAAAGAATATTACAATTGGTTTTTTTAGTTTAGAGCTAGTGTGAACAGTGTCTTGTGAGTACTACAGGAAAAAAATAGATCAAAATTTGGTGAATCTGATGAATGGGGAGCTANGGGGGGTGTTACAAATGGTATCAGAGCCGACCCCTTGGCGGTGCCGAGTGTGGGGCCCTGCACGGGTCAGCGTGTAGGAGGGAGGAGAACGGTAGTCCGTGACCTAGCTGCACGGGGACGTGCAGCCCTGAGGGGGGTGGATTGTGAGATCCTGGTATCCCACATCGGTTACGGAGGGGGGAGTTGCTGGGCTTATAAGTAAGCCTTCAGCCCTTACCTTGCAAGAGGCCTTTTCCCAGGGAACCCCTGGGAGGAACAAACCCTTGAGGGCAGGGGAGGAGAACGGTGTTCCGTGACCCTGTGCCAAAGAGGACAATATCTTGCTGGGTAGTGGGGGGGTGTTACATCCAAGATGCCAATGCCGAGCTTGATTGAATATGAACGATAAAGCTAATGAGCTTAAAACTGTTGAAGCTGAATAGCCTGATCATGTTAAAGTTGAAAAGCTCGCAGCTAAGCCTAATCATCATGACAGTGCTGAGATTTAAGAGCTCTTTATATTGAAGATCTTGAGCTAAAGAGTCAGGTCGTGCAATGATTGATGAGCGAGGCAATATCTTAGTTGAAGAGTTAGGTTATGCTTCAAGTGAAGACCCATTACCTTGTCTGAAGAACTAGGTCATTTCTTAGCTGATGAGCCAAATCATGCCTTGGTTGAAGAGCTTGGTCATTCCTTGGCTGAGGAGCCAGGTCAGGTTGAAGAGTTAGGTCGTTCCTTGGTTAAAGAGCTAGATCATTCCTTGGCTGAAGAGCCAAGTTGGCTAAGGAGCCAGGTCAGGCTAAAAAATGAGAATATTCCTCGACTGAGAGTCAGGTCAGGCTGAAGAGCCAAATCAATCCTTGGCTGAGGAGCCAGGTCGGGCTGAAGAGTCCCAAATTTTATAAGTAAGACTTTAGCAAATTGTCATAGATTTGATGGGTGATTGTGCCAGCAACTATTAATGTTGCTACTCTTTCCTGTAGAATTTTTTCTTGGGCATTTGAGAAGACAACCTGAAGTTGCTTGGAGCACACCAAAGTCTGAAATAAATACTATCAAAGAATAAATAATAATTTGGCAAGACCGAGCACTTATCTGTGTATGAGACAAGGTAGATGACGATAATTTTGATTACCAAAAGAATTGAAAATATAGTTTGATCTAGCATCCAATCGAAGCCTCTGTGATCTTAAATGAGGCATAAGACCCAATGATCTTGAGAGATTCAATTTTTGAAGTCATACCCTCACAGTAGCATATAGTTTCGAAATTAATGGATAGTTTCATGATCTCTTGCCGAAGACTGACCAGTCAAAAGGTGTTGTGGGTACAAGACCACTTGGTTAATTATCGAGATTTTGGCTCATTATTCAATCTTGAACCATCAATCAATCATTAGAGATTTGATTTAGAACAATGAAAATTGTTCTCACAGACGAAGCCAAGTTAATAGTGCTCTAAAATGCACAGCCCAAGTCCAGAATAACGTTTAATGAGATGGGGGGAGTGGTGTGAATACACTAAACTAATAGAGAAAATGTATAAAGAAATGAGATTAAAGACAATATATAAGTGGTTTACCCTAATCGAAAGATCATGATTGCGTCCACTGTAACGAAGACTCTTGTTCTGTAAGGTTTGTATTGCTTGAAAAAGAATATTACAATTGGTTTTTTTAGTTTAGAGCTAGTGTGAACAGTGTCTTGTGAGTACTACAGGAAAAAAATAGATCAAAATTTGGTGAATCTGATGAATGGGGAGCTAGCATTTGAGAATTCAAAATTCTCTTTGATATGAAAACAGTAGGATTGGAATTTCTCACAAGTTGAGTATTTTCTTGGTGTGTTCTCTCTGTAACCTTATTTATAAGGGAGGATTTAGCTAATTGTTCAACTAGTCATTACCACTTAACAAAATATCCTCAACTCTCAAATATTTTATCAACTCCGCCAGTATTTCCTCAACCCTCTGTAGTCAAAGTAAGTTAATTATACTCCAAGTGGGATTGACTAGTCTTTCCCTACTTGATGGGTCCCTTTAGCCAAGTCACCCATACTGACTAGAAAAGGTCCAACCTAAATATCCAATTATATAAATATAATATATGTATGCATGTATCATTATAAAATAATTAATTAATATATAATAATTTGATAAAAAAATGCATCTATGATATATGCAATATTTAACCAACGGATTGATGTTTTATATATTTCAGATTTGACCACCAACTGTGGCTTAATTAATATCGAGGGATTTTAGCCACATATTCCAACATCTCCCACTTGGCTACAAGCCCGAGATATTCACTCATAACTTAAACCCATAGCAATGACATGTCGTTTAAATTCTTTGGTTTCAATAGATTTTGTCAATGGGTCTACAACCATATCTTTTGTACAAAGATAGTCAATAGTAACATGTTTTTTTTGTATTATATCACTTATATAGTGATATTGTAACTCAATGTGCTTATCTTAAGGCCCGATTTTTCTATTTTTAATGGTTTTTATCGCAGCCTCATTATCACAAAAAATATGAATAGGCATATTATTTACACATGTAAGCTTTAAATTAGTTAGAAACCATTTTAACCATACAGCTTCGGAGACAACCATACTACAAGCAATGTATTCAGCTTCCATAATACTTTTAGCTATGCAACCTTGCTTTTAACTAGACCATGAAATAGCACCATCACCAAAAACAAATATATAACCTGTGGTGGATTTTTTATCATCAATATCACCAGTAAAATTAGCATCACAATAACTGTTGACATTTATGTCATCAGCTTGATATGTTAAAGAAAAATCTAATATACGTTGTATGTATCTAAGTACACGTTTCACAGCTAATCAATGAGGTATACCCGGATTACTTTGATATTGACTAATCAAACCAACAACATAGCTAAGGTCCGGTCTAGTGCATAACATAGCATAAATAAGAGTACCAACAACTTCTGCATAGGGTTTAGATTTTATTTCTTGTATTTCCTCTTCAGTTTGAAGAGTCATATTCTTAGACAATTTTGCTCCTTTGTAAATGGGTGATTCAATAGATTTGCAAGAATCCATTTTGAATTTCTTTAAAATATTTTTCAAATAAGAGTTTTGAGATAAACTCAATTTTCTTTGTTTTCTATCTCTAGCAATTTTAATTCCAAGTACATAATGTGCTTCACCCATATCTTTCATTTCAAACTTGGTGTTTAACCAACCTTTTAGTTCTAAGATTCTATTTATATCATTTCCGGCAAGTAAAATATCATCCACATACAAGAAAAAAAATAATATAATAACTCTCACTATTACAAGTATATGTAAAATGATCATAGTTATTTTGAACAAAATCATATGATATAATTGCATTATGAAAAATATGATACCATTGCCTTGAGGGATTGTTTTAAGCCATATAAGAATTTATTCAATTTATACACCTTATCTTCTTTACCTTCAACTTCATATCCTTGTGGTTGATACATATAAATTTCTTCTTTAAGTTCACCATTAGGGAAAATAATCTTAACGTCTATTTGATGCAACTCTAGGTCTAAGTATGCAACCAAGGACATTAATATTCTTATTGAGGTAAACTTAGATATGGGGGAATATGTTTCATCATAATCTATACCTTCCTTTTGCGTGTATCCCTTAGCCACTAATCTAGCTTTATATTTATGTATAGATCCATCTGATTTAAATTTCTTTTTAAGGATCCATTTACACCCAATTGTTTTTCTATCTATTGGTAAATCAACTGAATCCCAAACTTTATTTTTTTCTATAGATTCTGTTTCTTCTTTAATTACTTCTCTCCATTCTAGATGATCAATTGAATTTATAGCATCATTAACATTAATAGGATCATTTGAAATTTCTTCACTATTGAATGTATAATAATCTTTTAAGTAGTTAGGTGGATGTCTTTCCCTTTGTATTCTAGTTAAAGTATCCTTGTGTGTAAGCTCTTTTATTATTTGTTCTTGTAGTTGTTTATTTTCATTTTATTTAGTAATTTCAAATAGTTCAACCATTTTCTCAATTTTATTTAAGTCATCTTCAAAGAAAAATGTATCTCTTCTTTCAATGACTCCCACTGATCCATCACTAAGGTGAATTACAAATTTATAACTAATAGAATTTTTACAATATCCAATAAAAGTACATTTTATTGATTTAAGATCTAATTTTCCTCTATTTGGTCCTAAAATTTTAACATGAGCCGAATTACCCCAAACTTTTAAGTGAGAAAGACTTGGTTTTATACCCCTCCAAATTTCATATGGTGTCATTCCTATTGTTCTAAAGAGTACTCTATTAAGAATATAAATGGCAGTAGAAATAGTCTCACCCCAAAAAGTAGTGCTTAAGTGTGCATGACTAAGTATAGATCTAACCATGTCAATAAGTGTCCTATTTCTCTTTTCAGCTATACCGTTTTGTTGAATTGTATAAGAAATTGTTAATTGATGTATTATTCAATTTTCTTTACAAAAAAGATTCAAAAATTTCAGCCATGTATTTACCACTGCGATCCGTCCTTAATATTTTAATTTTTCTACCTAGTTGATTTTCTACTTCCACCTTAAATTTAATAAAATTTTGTAAGGCATCAGATTTATTCTTTGGTAAAAATATATAATCATATCTTGAATAGTCATTGGTAAAAGTAATAAAATATTTCATACCATGATGAGTTTTAACATTTAGAGGACTACAAATATCTGAATGTATTAATTATAGTAAATCTTTAGCTCTTTCTAATTTTTCAAATGGTTTTCTAGTCATTTTTTCACTTATACAAGATTCACATGGTTTCAAGTCAAGATCTAAATTTGGAATCAATCCAATGCTAGCCATCTTTTTCATTTTATTATAATTAATATGACCTAATCTCATATGCCATGAAATAGAATCAACGTTAACATTACAAGAGATANGTTTTTTCATATGAGATACATTGTAAAAGCTGATATCGTGGATACTTTTGTGACTCCTGGAATATATCTTGCAAACTTCTTCTTCTTATGATTTCAACATGCTTGGTATAACACATGATATATTGAAAATTACTAAGTCAATGGTGGTTACAGTCCCATTACTCCATGGCCAGAAGGGTTATCTCAATTTCCATAAAGAACATAAAAGTTTGTAGTGGCTAGTTCTTTTTTTTTTTTGGGTTATTTTTAGGATACCTACCATCTTCCGTTTGCTGTTTTCTCTTTGACTTGCCTATTCCTTCATTGGCAAATCTGTCACAGTGAGGAAACTTTCCAATGTGTTGTAAATTTGATCTTCATAGAGACTGTTGAATGCAGTCACATTAGTATATAGCAGTACAGGTTACCTTTCAGTTCTTTTTGATGTGTATAGTTATTTAGATAAAGCAATGGTAAGTGTCAGATTATTCTGAATGTACGAATCTTGTGATGGGTCTTTGATTGGTGTGTGAGTGTTTCTATGTTTGTGATCCTTCATGAGATAGTTCTAAGATGAACATGCTAAAGAGTTTATTGCTTACCCCTGCCTATCACTTACTTGATATCTTCTACGAGTGATTTATTTGGTCAACATTTATTGCACTCCAGTAACTCGTATCTTTTCTGTTGGAAATTGAAGAAACAAAATATTCAAGAGATTTTGCTAAACCTTGCAGTCCAACATATGTATTGTAATAANGCTTACCCCTGCCTATCACTTACTTGATATCTTCTACGAGTGATTTATTTGGTCAACATTTATTGCACTCCAGTAACTCGTATCTTTTCTGTTGGAAATTGAAGAAACAAAATACTCGAGAGATTTTGCTAAACCTTGCAGTCCAACATATGTATTGTAATAAATTTTAATTTGTTCATACAGGGCTCTTCTAGGGAGTGTGAGCAACTATTGTGTTCATAACGCCAGCTGCCCCGTGCTTGTTGTGAAAAAACCAGAATCACAGTAATTTTACTAGAACTTGGATGTACATATGGTAGAGTGTTCTCTTGTAATTTTTAGATGACTATTTGAAGATTGGAGAAAAGGATGTATAGTTTGCTGTGAGACATAAGATATATTGCGTTTATCAACTTCATTGTCACTTCCTTCTATGTTTTGTAAAATGCAGTGATGCCTAAGTTTGGTTTGTATTTGCTTACAAACGAACCTTTGTAAGACAAGATATGTGTGATACCATTTGAAAGAAATCCATGTAACCATTTGACCCTGTAAACCACAAACATAGCAGTACATCATCCAAATACACGATTAAGTGTGGCTGCCAACCGAACTCCACCTTGAGCTAACCGCATATTGACAATTGGTAAACGGGACAGGAAGTAGTCATCTGCAAAACAATTTCTCAGATTATACCCTACTCTGAAAAACAACACCACATTTAATTATATTTGTTAGAAAGAAAAGCACGTATGACTTACCTTCTAGTACCGAACCTTCACTCACACCTTTATATGCCCAATTACAGGCTGCTTTTATACTTTCAGTTGCATATCTGCAAGAAGTCCATAAACTTCATTTAGCTGTGTGTATGTGTGTTTGTGTGCGCAATGGGTGCACACCATTGTTCAGGCTGAAGTTGCCTCAAGGACTTAAACTAAGAGGTTGCCATGTTTCTGTCCTAGGAGATGTCTAAACTACTTTGGAATAGTTGATTGTTGAAGGAATGAACTTGGCCTATGACTGTATCATGGGTTTTTCCCCAATAACGGAATGAACTTGGCCTGTGATTGTATCATGGGTAATAGAACTTACATGTCTGGGCAGGCTGTCATGTTACGGCTGCAGGTCTCCCATGTCTTAACTTGATCTGCCCAAGTAGTCTGTCAAGGGAGGAGAATACATTATGACTAATGAAGGGAAAGCAACAACCTTTTAAAGACTTCTAAGTCTAATTTAGATAGAGGACAACTGCAGAATGCAGAGTTATATACCGTAATGTTCTTCTGAATTGCGTTGATCAGTCCTTCTGTGTTAGAATCATATGACCTTTTTTCTGAAGTCTCAATTATGCTATCATCCCATACCTGTATGCTTTCACATAAGATTAGAGTTCTGTGTCAAAACAGATTGTGGTAAACACGGTTTCAGATTGCTCCAGAA